GGAAACCAACCTTTGACAGATCTTTCTCTCCCACCTTCACTTGCTCCTACATACTTGGCTGCAATCCCTTCTCCAGAGGCAGTTAGGTCAGAAAGGAGGAGGTAGACCATCTTTCTTTGGCCCTACATCACCATTCACTGTCCTTTCTGCACGTAAAACTCCTCGTGCAGCTTCCTGTGAACCCAGGGCTTCAACCTCAGGTTTGGGTCCCTCATCCTTCTACCACCCCATTCAATAACAATTCATATTTCCGTATGCCTGGAAGTGCTAGCCAAGACCAAGGGCGTGGGCTTGCAAGTGGCAAGAAAAGGCTGCTGCAGGTCCCCTAGACACAACGGCTGATCACCACCTTGCTGAAAAACCAGAGCAGCAGGATGATACAGCCCATCACACAGACACTGGGTCAGCAGGAACAGGCAGTGCTCAGTCCCTGCCCCAAGAATCAGAAAGCCTCACTAGTCCAGACCGAGAAACATCCCCAGGGAATCCGCTCCACTGGTTAATCAGCATAGCTCTTAAAAATTAATAACAAAACAATAATAGTAGGCAGCTGTGCTTTTCATGCCTTTTATAGCAACGTTCCCACAGCACAGCGAGGGACATCATTTGGGGTTCACAAGCAGCTTTGGGGCTGCATTTGGGCCTTCTTCTCTTTTTCCATGGCCTACCTCTCACCTGCTAGCCTCTGCTGACCAGAAGGCAGCCAGCCTGCCACTTCCACTGCAATAAAATCAACCAGACAGCAGAAAAGCACACGCACACGCAGCAAGCTTGGTCCTAGCCTGAGTGAAGCTTAGCATTCCTTCACATTCTGGGTTGTGGAAAGAGTTGTTCAAACCAGGCTCATAGCAACCTTTTAGACGTCGTACTCAGAGTTATGTAAAATATTTTCCCTGCTTTGGTAGTTGGCAAACTTTGTTTTATAAGACAAATGGAATTTATTAATGCAAAATATTTATCAAGTCTTTGTATTTTTTTTCCAAGGGAGTGGAGAGGTTGACCAGGAGTCTTTCATCTTTGTTGGCTTCTGAATGTTAAAAATGCAGCTGATTTAGAGCAAGACCACAAGCCAGAGTCTCTTTCATTTCCACATAACCCCTTTTTCTGCAAGCGATAGCAAGCTCTGCCTTTGAGAAACGTGTCTTCTTCCTGCGGTGACGGCAGGGAACGCTCACGATGTGCATCCTCAAAAGCTTGGGTGATCTCCATCCTCCAGGTGAGCAACGGAGGTAAAAGACGGACAGCAGGCAGGTTCCTCTGTGCTCCGTCCTCTGAAGATGAGCAAAGTGAGATGTGCTGTGCCTCAGGGACCTCGCATCCCCCAGGAGAATGAGCGTAAGGTGGGAACACAGAAGAAAGGGGGAGTAGCAAAAAAAGGGAGGACAGCACGTTGGCCAAACAAATCATCATCAAACAAGCACCATCATCTTCAGCTGCCAAGCGCTGCTTCCAGGACAATCAGATCACAAAGCACTTTTCTTTAGGCTTCCGTATCTGCCTGATGGTTTATCATCCACCTTTTCTTTGACTGTTTTCTTCAGCTTGATAGGTACCAGCATAGTCTTCACTGGAGGTTCGTAAGGACTGCCATGGCATACGTAACATTTTTGTCAGAGGTGGGTCCACTTTGGAATAAATATCTCTGCTTGCTACAGAAATTTGTATTTATTTTCTTCTTTTTCTTCATGCACAAAGAATAACAGTTTCAGGAGACTAAGGTTAAAATCAGTTGTTTGATGCCTGGGTTATTTATTTGTTCCTCTTCTTCCCTTTCATGACTTGGGTCCGCTCTGCAATTAAGGTTTTAAATGTTCCTTTTTATCTCAAGTTCAATCCACTACAGTAAAAACAGTTTCAAATCCAACAGCTTGAATGGAAACAGACACAGTTGTCAGAGACCAGGTTCCTATCTTTAGGCAATCGGTGTGGCCCCACAGCTGGGATCACAGAATCAGAGAATGGCTGAGGCTGGAAGGGACCTCAGGAGGCCATCTCATCCAAACCCTGCTCAAGCAGGGGCACCTCGAGCAGATTTCCCAGGACTGTGTCCAGATGGCTTTTGAACATCTCCAAGGAGGAGATCCTCAACCTGTGCCAGTGCTTCGTTGCCTGCCCAGCAAAGTGCTTCCTGGTGCTTAGACAGAACTTCTTGTGTCTGTGCACATTGCCTCTTGTAAATAACGGGATATCAGAGAATCCTGCTCTGCATCGAAATCTTCTCCCTTCAAAGGTGAGGCCCAGTAAGTAGGTGGTGGCTCAGAAGAACTTTATTGAGTGAAGAAGCCAATGGCCCTCTTGGTTCACCACTTAGCATCTCCTGTGAAATAATATTTATTTGGAAGAGTCAGGTCTTCTCTTCACACTTTCAAAGAACTGGAACTGGTCCAAAAATGCCTGAAGGGGAGAACAAAGCAGTGACTTGAAGGACATTTGTCTCAGGGTGGCCAGGCCTGCAGAATACAATGTTCCTCTTACAATATTAGACTTAATCAAAGAAACTGGAGAGAGGTCACAGAGCAAATTCCTGACTCCAAATTCACGAGTTATAAATAAGTATTCCCTGGTGTGGACAGAGGTCCCTTCGGAAAAGCCCAGTGAGTCAAGGCTGAAAATATTCCATTTTGGTGGACAAAATACAAAAGAGAAGTCATCGTTAACACGAGAGCCAGAGGATCCATGAGAGGCGGTCCCCTTCACTGCCAGGTAAACAGCCCCACGTTGCAGGAATGGGCCCAAACCAGAAAGCCCCAAGCAGAGAGAAGACAGAAAAGACGTAACCAAGTGTAAAAGGGGGAAGTCATCACCTGGCCTGGACCACCCTTCCAGTCGTCTCCTATAAGGTGTCTTCGGTGCCAAGGTCTGCTCTTGGCTGTCCACCCTCTGCTCACCTGGCTGTGATGGGATGAACGCAGGCTCTGCGGCCCCACAGCTCAGTCTCCTCTGCAGCAGCTCCCCCACAGCCCCTTCTTCATGCTCTCGCCACTGAAGAGCAGGCAGGGCTCTGAACACAGGGGTGCCCGACATCTCCAGCCTGAGCAGAAACACGCAGTCCCGAAGCGTATCCATTAGATGCCCGAAGGCCAGGAGAGGACATCTGAAGCCGAGCAAATTCCAGGGAAATCTTTTACATCACTCACATTTCAAAAGCGCAGCCCAAAGCCTCTGCTGGTGCAACCTGGCAAGAACGTGCCCCTCATTGCACAAAAAATAAGAAACCCAGGCCAGCTCTCCCTCCGCCACCACAGGGGCAAGGGGCAGCCGTGACAGTGCGCACCACAGCAGAGCTCGGGAGGAGAGGCCGGCTCTGCTTTGCCTTTCCTGCTGAGAAATCAGGTGCATCCCTCGGGTTGGGGCGTGCTGAAGGTGCAGCACAGGGAAGCTCAGGAGCTTTCCCTGGTGATGCTGCTCATGCTCTAGGTCAGGAGAGAAACAGGGATGTATAGCAGGAGGTGAGCGATACAGGACAAGAGAAGAAAAAGAGGTGGGTGAAGGCTGAAGAGGAAGCCAGCCCTTTGGTTCTCCAAATACTGCTGCAAGGCTGGCCCAGGTAGAGCTCAAGGGAAGTTTGTGGCCCTGACATTGAGGGATGCCAGAGCCCAAGGAAGGTTTCTTTTAGGCAGACGGTGGGGTTTGGGCAATGCTGTGCTGGCTTCTCCCCCTTTTCTTTGCTTTTCTAGTTTGAGGTGCCATAGAGGTACTGCCCTTTGCTTGGGGAAGAGGGAGATGCTGAGGCCAGGCCTGAAGCTCCTGTGCTGCAGCTCCGGGCATCCCAGCCCAGCCGCAGGCACCAGCTCCAGCACCAGTATGAGCACTGGGGGGAACAAAGAGGGGGCGGGCAAGCTCATTCACTTGCTAATAGGCTACTGAAAGCAAGACATCACATTTATGATTGCCACTGCAGGGATACGGTCCAGCTTGCTAAAAGCAGAGGGAAAAGCATGACAGGGCAAGAAAGGAGAGGAAACGGATTGGGTTTTTCAGATGCACCCCAAAATCCACACAACTCGTAGGAGCCCCAGGAGGCCTGAGCAGGGCAGTGACACCAAGATGCTGAGCACCCAACGAGAGTTTTTCTCAGCTCTGGTTAGAGAAACCCTTTCCTGCAGAGCTGCCGCTGTTCATATGCTTGGAGCAACACTGTACAGAAAGGAGAAGGGCTGTTTTTTTGGGGGGGATGGGAAGGGGGAGCACAAACCCTGCGCTGGGAAAGCCACACCGATGAGCTTGTTAACATTTGAAGAGACTGCCTGGCGTGATTCCTTACACAGATCCCTGCCAAGAATTTGCAAGAGGAAAGTATATTTAGCAATCCAAGGCATGCCAAAGCCTTGTCAAGAGGAGAAAAAAAAAAAAAAAAGAAAGAAAAAAAAAAAACACTTTGAATATGTGGAATAGCAATTAGACATTTTCTAAGCAGCCATTTTCAAAATGCATCCAGGCATCTAATAAGGGCACCTGAGGCATATCCACAACCCTGCCACACTCCGTGCCTCAAAAGACATCCGCTAAGGGGCGAATACACAGAGCAAGGGCACGTTAGCGATGGCAACTGCCCACTTGCAGGGCACTGGGGCTGGTCCTAAGCTTGCGATCCTCTGCCACCCCCCTGAGCCACTGCGAACACACGGTCTCGTGCCACCGCGTGTTATTTCAGCAGCATCCTCTGAGGAATCGTTTCTCCTAAAGCCGTGAGCCGTGCTGCCTGAGCAGTTTGATGAGAGCTGTGCCGCCAGCTCTGTGATGCTTTGTGTCCCCGAAAGGAGCAGCTGGTGAACCTCCAGGTGAGAGGAGCAGCAGCTGGAAGCTGGGACAACGCGTAAAAGCAAATGGCAGCTTACAGCCCACCACAGTGACCCCAGCCCTGGTTGATTCTCTTGTTGGCCAACGTGCTGAGCTGTAAAAGTGTCAATAAACTTCATTGCTAAGCTCCTTTCTTGCTGGGGAGAGACCTGGATATGTCTTCCAGGACAGGGCACGTCTGCCCCAGGAAGGTCACTCACCTGCACTGATTCTGGAGCAGCTGCTGGGAGTTTCCCTGGGGTGCAGCATGGAGAGAAAGGCTTGGAGGAGCTCAGGAAAGCCATGGGCACCTCTTGATCTCACCCAGGGTTGAAGGCAGCCAAGCATGCAGCGAGGCCATGACCTTTGCTGTTCGTGGACGTGAGAAATCACACCAGGACGTGCTCTGTAAAGCATGACACAACCCCACAACACCCTCCTAGGACGTACAGATACTTTCGACAGAGCAGCTTCCCCAATTCCTGCCTGCTGACCACCGCTTCCCAGCCTCCCCGCTCCCGTTTATTCCTTCTCTTTACCCAGCTCTGTGCCAGGAGGGCGTGAAAAAGCAGCTGGGGAGGGGGACAGGTGAGCAGGGGACCCCCGAGGTGGGCAGGGAAGGACGGAGCCAGGCTCAGCCCCCAGCCGCAGCGCGGCAGTGGCGCCCGCTGGCCGCTCGCAGCATCGCCCCGGCCGCAGCAGCTCTCGGCTCCTGGCTCTCGGTTTCTCGCCCTTGCCACCTTCTTCCCTGCCCTCACGGCGAGGAAAGGCGCTGAGCTGGCAGCCCCGAGGCTCAGAGGTCCCGCTCGGTGGCCTAGGAGAGAGCCACAGAGCTCCTGGCAAGGCAGGACCAGCTCAAACCCAAATCCCAGCCTGATTTTCTCTTCCCGTTTCCACCTTGCCCTTTTTCCACCCTCCGCCCATGCTAATCCCAAAAGGAATTAAATCATTTTGGGGTGTCAAGGTAGTGCGGATATATCCTCTGCACCTGCTACCGAGTGGCTATTTCATGCCAGGTGGGGAGGCTTTAATCAAAGCCACGTGCTTTAATTATGGCCTGTGCATTAATGAAGACAGAGGGCTGTTATATCACAACCACTAGAAATGAGAAAATGGAAGGAAACATCCCAAGCACCCCGAGCGGGGAACAAAAGGCAAAACACACAGACACCCACCTGTGCTTCCAGTGGCACCTCACGAGCTGGTACCACAACTTCCTGCATCCATCACCCCATCACTGCAGGCTTCAAGGGAGTTTTGGTGCAGTAGAAGCATCTTGTGCAGGAATCTCAGACCTCTCCCACACCCTCTCAGATAGAACGCTTTTTTGCTCCTTCCCTGATTGCCAAACCCACTGCGCACAGTGCCTCCCTGTGGAAACACCCGCAGCGCAATCTCTCCCCAGGCACACCCCATTTTATCAGTGAAGGCTTCCATGGGATGAAGATGCAAACCAAGGCATCAGCGCACAGCCATGGCCTCATCACGATTTTCTGAGAAAAGGACTCCCATTTTAAATGAAAACACCTTAGTAAGGGAAATTGTCTTTATTTTGATGCAAGTTAAGCAAAAAAACAAAACTTTCCTTTAGTAAGGGAAGCTTATAGCACTGAACTTTAAAGAAGAGGAAACGGGTTCAGGGATGCCAAATTCAAACATTTGAGTTGCATGAAGACTTTTTGCAGCTTAAGAAAGTGCTCCTATTTAAGTCCTCTTCTGAATACAACTTTCAAAGACATCGGGCTCATTAACGACATTGTCTTTATTGTTCTTAAGTTGGAGCAAGAGGACTTCAATATTACTTTACTATTTTTCCTTTAGCCGTTATCAAGGCTATTACTAAGATCTGTGTTTTCTGATGTGTATTGTGAAGGACAAGAGAAATGACCAAAAAGCCCAGCTCATAATCCTGAACTAAATCAAAACTCACCTAACAAATCAACTGTAAAAAAAAAAAAAAACATTCCAGTATCCCAAGCTTCAGAGTCTAAGGAGGTGATTTGGAGGCAATTATTAGCCTGAACAGCAGCTTTTCCTCCAAGATTGATGGTCCCAGGAGTTGGCTCAACATGAAAAAGCGTTGCTGCCATCTAGAATGGACTCAGGAACTTGAACACACAGAGATGAGAGCCCTTCAAGTAGGGAGAGCAACCCAATCACAGCATTTGTGCGCGCTGATATTGAGATCTGCACACAGCCCAAAACACTACGGGCTGAGGTAAGCCACCATCTGCAGCTGGCACTGAAAATTAGCAGCACCAGCCAGCAGCAGAGGATGACAGCTGCTCTTTATTCATTTCAGTCTCTGCCCTCAAGCCACGATGCTCTTTTCTCTCCTTGCAGCACGTGCACGGCTCTCCCAAGCCCTCCTCAAAGACCAACAGGAGAAGGCAGGCTGATGTTCCACTTTCTCTCCTCTCCCCTTCCATCTGCTCGCTCCTCCACTCATCCATTTGCTCTGTGCTATTCCTCAAGGCACAGACATCAAGGGCACCTCAAGATGTGCCTAAATTCTCCTCACATTCACCTCAGTGCATTAAAGCAACAGAACCAGAGTATGAAATTAAATGGAATAGAAAATTGGTTTTTAATGACTTAACCAGTAATAAGAACTTTTCAACTACTGGATAGAAATACAAATGCCTCCGTAGTTACACCAATAAATAACAACGCAGCAAGACAGCACTTTCCATAGAAAGATGAACATGATTCCACTCCATATCACCTTTTATTGTTAAAGGGACAGATCTTGACAGTGGAGGAAACAAGCATGTTTCAGAAGGAGAGCAGGGTGCAGCATCTACTGGTCCTTCAGTTCTTTCAGCCTTCTGATCGCAGATTTGACTGTCACTGCAGAGGTGGTGCTGAAAGAAGCAGCAGAGTCATTTGCACACCGCAGCACAACAACCCGCACCAGTTATTTTTTGGACAAAGCACTCATCATTTCAAATAGTTCTCGCCCGACTGCATTGTCAACAGGAGGCTACCTCCACGTCGATTTTCCTGACAACGAAGCGTAGGCCCATGCCTAGAGACGCGCACACAACTTCACAGCTACCTCTCAATCCAAATCACCCAGGCATCCAACAACTACGTGCGCAAGAGCGTGGGCTGAGTCCTAGCGACTGTCGTGTGGGGTAACCGCGTCCTCTACCAGAACGGGAGGGGGCAAGTAGGGTAAAGAAAGGCATGCAAGGGCACCATCACAATAAAAACTGTAATGATTCAATTATTTTAGGGAAAAAAAGGAAGTTTTCTTTGGAGTAAACCTAATTTCAACTATTGCACCTGTTTCTCTGAACTGGGAAGGCTACTGCAGTAACCACAAAAAGTGCTGCTTGAACTTCAAAATAAGAGGTAGGAGCGTCTTTCCATAACTACGCTACTTCTACAGCCAAGAGTACCAGGGGAGGAAAAATACACCCCAGAGCAAAGACAATAACGTATTACAAGCTGTGAAAATATCTTTTTTTACATAGATTGGAAGGAGAGTGGTCAGGTCTCAGCCATGCAGCCTATTCCACCCAGAGCCACAAGAGAGACTGCTTACAAACAAATGTTTGCTTCCACATTTGCAGATGTTTGGATTTGTTTATTTCAAGTTTGGGAAAAGATGCAAAGATTGCTTTTTTTTTTTTCTTTTAAGAAAAAAACAACTGCTTTGGTAAAGTCCAGAGAGATTATGAAATTTTTTGGGAGGATATACCAAAAATAGCAGGAACTTCATGGCTGAAATGCAGTATTGGCAAAAGCTGCACAACAGATACTGAAAAGAACAGCAAGTGCTTCACAGTCTGATCAAATTTTATTAACCAAATTGAGAAAAAAAACACATCACTAATTCAGTACAGATCTACTTAATGATTAGCAGATTATAATTAAAAAATTTTAAAATCCCTCGGTTCTATGAAAATGTCTCAGTCACATGAAACTGAATGCCGATAGAAACTTCTTTATTGCCTTACTTGTAAGTCCAAGCACCACCAGCAACTGTCTTCATGCAGGATCCGCAGTGCCAGATCCCAACGGCCTTCCTCTTCATTTTGGTCTGTAATAGAAAAGAAAAAAGACGCACTCTCCAACAGCTGAAAAACCCACAACAACTCATGCTGTTATCCTAAAACCCAACTTCAGGTGAGTAGTTCAGCATCACACCATGGCGCTGCCTGTAAGGCTGTGCTAAAAACACACAAGGATCTGAGGTTTTCATTTCAGTTTCTCAAAACAGAGAGTTCATCTGAAATTTTTTTTTTTTTTTAATTTGTATCTGGAATAGAAGGGAGTTATTTCTGAATGCACCATCAAAAATTTAATTTTTTAAAGGAGAAAAAAATATTAAAGAGTTATACTGTCAATAACAACTGATATTCTCCTGGTATTATGACCAACACTGCACTGCTATTATTTGCCCTTTATGAACATCCCAAGATTACTCTGAACCAAATGCTCTTTGCACCTAAGGAATGGGCACCTCACTCTCTTCACCTGGAGAAATCTCCAGGTTTGCTTAGACCTATCTTGGTCTAAGCTATTCAGATGGAGATACCAATGTTGTCACTTCACATGTGAAAGCCATTAAGTATAAAAACCCAAATTCTTACAGTTTTCTAGTCACCTACAGATACCTGCTTTACAGGTATCAATAGTCTGGGCAAAGAACAAGCTGCTGGGCCTCTCAAGCTGTCAAAACCAAATTCAAGTGAACTGTGCTCACACATGAACAAGTAAGACTCCTCCAAATCAGTAATCATTCCCCATCCAGAGCTATACAGATGTAAGAGCTATACAGATGTGCATACAGATGTAAGCAACCAAGTGCAGTCAGAGTTGTAAGTGGGAAGAGTGAGGTCCCTTCCTCCCCAGGTATGCTGTAAAGTTAGTGAAGGAGGAAGAAAAAGGAACAGAAACAGAAAAAGAAGAAAAAAAATAAAAAGAAATAAGAAAAAGAAGCCCAAGTCATGCCTTAATTATCAGGATTACAGATACATTGTGTAAATTCTGCCAGGTCTTTTCATCAGATCCCTACAATACACAGTCTGGCAACGAAATAAAGATTTAGTTCCATTTAACTACCAACTGTGCATTCACCTGAAATGTCTATTAATTCCTTTTATTTTATAAGGTGACCTAACGCTCACAAAAAAAATATTTATTTTCCTTAAACCAGTCAAGCAGAAAAAAATCCAGACGCAATCCATTCCCAGCACCACTAACAGGCCGATTTTTGCGTCCAGCCGTAGGAACCCGTGCGCCTCACCTTGCCGCAGAAGGAGCAGGTATACTTGGCGTGCTGGCTGATCTCGATCTTCTTCACCATCTTCCTCAGGGACGCGCCGTAGCGGGTGCCGTACTTACCCACGATCCCCACCTTCTTGGTGCGCTTGGCCTGCAGGGAGGTGAACGCCACCACACCGCCATCAGGCGCGGCTCCACCCAGCTCACCGCCTTCCCCAGCGCCTCCCCCAACAAACGAAGCCCACCACGAGTCCCAGCCACCAAACCATCCCCTACCACGGCGGATACAGCGTTGTTTAATTAAATCCCAGCGCCTCGTGCTGCCGCCCCCCCCCCCAAGCTTATACAGGATCCGCGCACCGCCATCCCCAGGCCCTCCCCCCCCCCCCCACCCGAGGCCTCCGCTCGCTGCTCGCCCAGCGCCGCCCCGCCGGAGGCCGCCCCCCCGCCATCATCGTTCCCCCCGCCCTCATCGATCCCCCTGCCATCCCCTGGCCGCTCCCCGCCGCCCCAGCGCGGCGGATGGCGGCGGATGGCAGCGGCCCCCTCCCCGCTCACCATCTTGCCGCCCGGAGCCGCCGCGGAGAGAGGAAGGCGCAGGGCGCATGCGCGGGGAGGTGAAGCGGCGCTGCCGGAAGTCAGCGAGGGTAGAGAGGCCGGGCTTGTCTGCGCCGCTTGGAGGACTGAACTCTATGCTTTGGAGGACCGAACTCTATGGTAGCCCCGCCTGACGGGGCTGAGGGGAGGCGCGGACCCCGCTGAGGGGGCCCCCGAAATGTCCCCGAGGAGCCCAAATTTGGGTTAAAATAGGGCGGTGGGAGGACTGGGGGGGCCACCTTCACCCCAAAAGAGGGTAGGGAGGCAGCAGAGAAGCAGCCTTCGTTGT